CGCGCTGAACGCGGTACGTCACGTGTATTTTCGCGCGCGTGTACTTTTTATACCTGCATATTAATGTGTAATATATTGGTGCGCCTGTCTCGATAAATACGCGATATTGTTTAATAAATTGATCTGTAAATGCAACAATTTTCCACGAAATCAACGGATTTGTTATCATTGACACGCTTGTCACAGCGCGCTGACATTTACACGGCATCGTGGCACGTGAAAAAACGTAACAACACCGTGTGCAGATTATACGCTAAGGTTCTAAGTAGATAGAGTACACGGACGAAAATAAAAAGAAACCATGGCTTAATATCTGGTCGTTTTTCGCAATAGTTGTAATCCAAATATAATATCCCGGCTATATTAATAACTAACGTTATCGTACTTAGTTTATTCATATCCAATAGGTAATGTATTCACATGAAGTTTTTGAAGTCACGAGTTTACCAGAACAAAGTTCGAAACGTCTTCAAACTCAATCAAACAATTCGTCGTGTCCTCGACGAACTTGATGGGCCAATGTGTTGTTATCCAGTGATGGTAAATCGTATAGAAAGAATAATCGCCTGCAGTGCTAGTAGGGAGGGTCATATGAGACCGATATTGTTTTTTACTGTTAACATCTCCCGAAGAGAATGATATCTTTGTTATGTTTTTTTATAATAAATTAATTTAATTTAAAGCGGATTTAAATCCTACATTCTTTTTCAGACACCCTATATTGAGAATCACTAAAATATTAAAATAATACAATAAAACAAAAAAGCCACATAATGGGATTACTATACTTATCGAAAATGTTTATAATCTTGATGACATAATATTTTCTGATTTATTATTTCTTTGTGATTATAATTTTGGAAATTTACTAATGCGTTTTGTTATACTTTGTTGTATTACAATTAAAGGTGTATAATCACATGATAAGCACAATATTTTAAAATTAAATAAAATAAATAAGGTTCATGTGTTTGTTCGTTTTTATTTTCTCAATATTACTAAAACACTATTGGCAGTGTTTGAAGTGGAGGGGGATACAGAGGGATGGCATCCCTCTACTTTTTTGTATTTACAGTTTTCATCCCTCTACTTGTTTTGTCTAGAATAACGCATATTTATATATAATATTTTTTTTTTCGGTGAAAATAATTGTTTTTAACAGTCAGGCCCGAGCGCCTGGCTTATCGTGTTATTTAGTATAAGCCGTTTCGCAACCCGTATTATACCCGTATTTAGAGTCACGAATTAAGATAATATACCTTATGTGAACTATAAAAAAAATTAGAAAAAAAAAAATATTATAGGTACATAAAGTGTGAAGAATGTTATGATGATATCATGAAATCTGAATTGTAAGGCATTCCTCCACTTATCTTGAGCCATTTCGACCACTGACTATTAGTATGTACCTATACAAGTAAACATAAAATATTTTGGTATTTTTAAGCTTAATATTAATTAAAACAATTAGTCGAAGATATTTTAATACAATGTAAACTATCAATTATAATAAAATGTAAAAGAAAAATAAAATAGACATTGCGTTTGATTCTTTAATTTATTAACAAAACAGATACTTAAAAAGGAAAAATATGAAAAAATATTTTTATAATTTTATTATTATATAGTAACACCCTCAAAGGGTAATATGGTACAGCAAGACAAAATCATTAACACTAAGTGTGTACAAAGTATGATAGCAAAAATGTTAAAGTTCAAGTACTAATAAAAAACAAAAATGCATACAATGCCATAAAGATAAACAATAATAAATTTTGTAATATATTAGATAAGAAAAATATAATATTTGATATTTATAAATAATATGTAGGATTATTAACTAATTAGTATATGACTTCAATTTGTTACTGTTGTCATAGAAAAAATCAAAATTAGAAATATTGTTGCATGATATTCTTAACATACGGTTTAGAAGGCTGTGTTTAACGAAATTATTTTTACCAAAATTAGTGTAAAATAAATGTGATTGGCGGACGTTAAAAATTGGTATTTTAAGATAAATTTGTTCTAGTAAATCTGGACAATCTATTTTATTATTAAGTAATTTATGTATAAATAATACATATGTGTATTCGTATAGCCGTCTTGATTCTAAAGTTGGGATTTGGTATATTATAGCGACGACTTTTACTGGTTTACCAACTAAATCAAATTTTTGGGCTATCATACGAAGGAAACATCTTTGAATTATTTCAATTTTATTTTTGAGGCCGACTTGTATTGGACTCCAAACAACCGAACCAAATTCAAGAATGGATCTTACAAGTGAAAAGTATAAAATAATGTATTAAAAGTTTATACATTTTAATATAATAATATATATTAAATTGCATTATGTTACTAAAAATGATTATTTAATCTTAAAACATGAATTGTAAATTGCATTTATTTTTTGAAAAAATGTTGACAACATTTTCAACTAAATTTAAACCTTGAATTTTCTGTCTAAGTATAGTAAGCATAGATAATTAAGATTGTGTTTGCTTATTCATTGTGGATCTATGTTTATACACAGAAAAGTATACTAAATGGTACCTCAATAGTACATGTTGTAGGAGGTATAGTTACGTAAATTATGGTACATTTTTTTAATTGATGGAAAAAATTCACAGTCCTTTGAATTATATGAAATATTATATAGATCATTAGTTTTAGTAAAGTTTTCAGTATTATTCCAATAACCAGCCTTCTTTAAGCTTTTTTCAATAAGATTATCGATTTTGTAGAAATCAAAAACTTTTTATAGTGTCCGTATGAAGTCGCATTTACTTAATTTTATCACTTCTAATGGAAACTATTTCAAATGGAGTTTTATTGGTTTGTGAGAAACGATATTCTAAAGATTTAATTAAAGATTCCAAATATGGAAAAAAACTGAAGCTCTATAATATTCTTCAGGTGTTATACTGTTATGATAGTGGGTCTGGGATTAGAAGGATTAGCCAACGGTAAGCTTAGGAGCGATACCGTTGTTTCCAGGGGGTGCCAAGAATGTACTTATTGCTCTGTAGCCAGATTAAAGTATACATTCAACGCGGAGGCTCCTTCTGTGCCTCCCCATCTATTATCTACAAATAATAGTGCTAAACATTTTATATACGCTGACGATTCAGCAAGTGCCATACAAGGAAATCAATTTAAAGTAATAGAAGAAAAACTCACCAAAACACTAGAAACAATGAGTAATTACTACAACGATAACCATTTTAAGCCAAACCCTAGCAAGACTCTTGTGTGCACTTTTCGCTTCAAGAACAAAGAGGCAAATCGGAACCTCCAAATTACCTGGGAAGGAGCATTACTTACACACTGCAAAACACCAACATATCTAGGAGTAACTCTTGATAGGACGCTAACATTTAAATCCCATAGTGAGAAAACTGCCAAAAAGATAAACACTCGAAACTGTTTGATTCGCAAATTAACTAGATCAACCTGGGGTGATCAACCTCACGCACTACGGATGTTAGCCTTGGCATTATGCTTCTTTGTGGGGGAGTATGCATCCCCTCTCTGGGGACGGTCAATCCATACGGGAAAAGTGGACGTGGCATTAAACAACAGTTGCCGAATTATAACAGGATGTCTTAAAAATACATTGGTGGAGAAAATATACTTATTAGCAGGTGTTGCACCTCCCAACATACGTGGACTTGTAATAAAAAAATCTAAAAATGTAAACAAACAAACGAATAGAGACACCCAATGTCTGGATTTTCCTTGACTTAAGGCGAAAGATGGGCGCCTTAAGTCAAGGAAAAGTTTCTTAAAGACATCAGAGATCCTAACAGAAGATTCATCATTAGAAAGAATAACCCTCTGGAGAAATCAAATTGTAGACTCAATCTGGGGAGTGGAGCCAACCGAACAGCTACCAACAGGCTATGAGTTAGAATGGAAGACATGAAGAACCCTCAACAGAATGAGAGTAGGTGTAGGCAGATCAAAAGACAATATGTTTAGGTGGGTCTACCTTAACGACTCTGACACAAAATGCAGATGTGGCCAAGAACAGACAATGGCACATCTATTAGTATGTCCAAGGAACCCGAACAAATGCACGGAAGATGACCTAATACAGGCAAATAAAACAACGGTGGAAGTCGCTCATTTTTGGACAACAGAAGAAATTTAAAATAATATTTACTATTTATGTTTTATTTTATTTTATTTATATAATTGATGTCGACTAGTTATAATTTAATAATATTTTAATTTTATTAAAAAATTTTAATTTTTAACTCTATGATTTATATTTTATAAATGTTAAGTGGTCTGACACGAAAAAAAAAACCTTTATGATTTGACCGATGTGTTTGTTGGTTCGAAAGTCTTTATCTCAATGTCTAAAGCATTGGTAATATTTTTTAATGTTTCAAAAATATTTTGATAATGTGTATCGGCTTGAGTTCTATGCATTCTAAGAATTGACAATAAATTATTTTTGCTATATTTTCGCACAAAATACAAATTAGTTTTAATAGACTGCAATTTATTGACGACTAGCTCTAAAATTGATAAATACGTTGAAATTATAATCAAACATACATTAAATATGTTTTTTTGATGTACTTAAACAATAATATTTTACGTATAATAATCACGGAAAAGCTCGGGGAGATATGTCCCCTCCCTTAATCATCCTCCTAATGACGTCCTTACCCATCCCTTGTGATATACACTCCCCCGTACTCGAATTGCAGCGGAGCCCGATGGACCCTTATCCAAACGCGTGCTCGCGCTTGCGATAGATCGTACAAACCCTCGCGTGTGGATACACACAACACAAAAAACAGCGCGGGAACGTGTCGCAGAGTAGCAGGCGATTTTCCACGGTCGTTGTGCAATCGTTCCCCGGGTCTAGAGATGCTGGAAAACTCCTGCAGATGGCGCGTTTTGCGATTCTCCCCACCGGGTTACAATGAACGATTGCGATTAAAAGTGAAAACGCCGGCTATTTCTGGTCACATGTAATTTACACCCGTTCGATTGAATATTGCAATTGATTCCGGTGGTTTTTATGTTTTGTTTTTGATTTCGGTTCGGCTTTCGGTTTGTTCGCCACGCCGTAGTGTATATACTATATAATATATGTATACGTGGTGCTCTTCATTTATGCATCGCCGGGTAAAATTATCAACTGATATCCGATTTAACGTTTAGCATAAAATAATATCTCACTCATCTATTAGTAATTATCGTTTGCCGTCGTCGACTTAAACGTACATTAAGTGTGCATGCGGTTCAATACACACAAATACACTATGGTAAAGTATAACATAATGTTTTCTATCATCTGAGTGTTTATACGTAGCTAGTATTTTAAATATATGAGAAATTACGGTAATAATAAACCAAAATATTTACTTTTAATCAAAAAATTCGTTTTTCTGTAACAATGTTTCCCGTTATTAGTATCGAACACTGGGCGATATGAAAGATATCCGAATAGCTGATAAAACCCTCAAATGTTTATATTTTGCACTTATTATTCTTATCATTCAACCTAGTATAATACAATATTAATGTTTATGTGATTTTTAAACAGCAAACTGTATTCGTTTGACAATAATTTAGTTAACTGTACAACAATAATATAATAGTAACATTATAATAGATTATTCAAATATTTCAACTTGTTCCTTTTGAGTCACATCAATGTTTGATTACTTTGTATGTTTAATACCTACATCGTCAGCTATAGCAATTCTTTAAAAGAACACGTTTGATGATTTATAGTAAATGTTTGGTAGCTTAGGGTTTTTATATGATAAGATATTATTTTAAAATAATCATAAATATTTGTTGGCAAACAAACGTTTCGTATCCATACCTCGTTTTGGTAGCATTAGAAGCATTTGATACGGGATTTATTTAAATGCTACGTGATAACTAAAATTTTTTTGTTCAAAAATAGTATGAATCTTGTAATCTAAATGTACATTTTTACCTAATTTTTTTTTTCCAAACTTGAAAGGGAAAATATTTAGTGTAGAAACTAATAAGCCACACAACCACCTGTACTGACAATCCATTATATTACCCTTATGCAGTTTTTATATTATTTAATAGAATTTTAATTGACCTTACGTATATTTTAAGCATATTAATTTAATTAACGGCCGTTTACAAGCCTACTCGCACGTATAAATATACGAATATTGAATGAGTTATTTTACGTTATATTTTAACGGGACACGTTAAATCTGTATCATTAGTAATATTGAAAATATTTTTTGAATTACAAATAAGAAATGTCCGTTTTATTAATGACTTTTGCAGTGCATTTATTATGCAGAAGTCACACAAAACTCTTTCTATAATGGATAGTCATGGTCGACTGCTGGATTTATATAAATATCATAATTGAACAGCTCGCGTATAACGTGTACCCTGTGTATTATGTATTATTCGAAGTCAACAACTCATCGAACCTACTCGTAAAAGTGTTGAAAATTTTAAAAGAGGCACACAAATAAAAACAATAAATACACATTCGTCTCGGCAACAACTATAATAGGTGTACACTCTTGGATCGAATACCGTTTATATGTCCGAAACCGTAGAAATCGAATAATTTTTTTTTTAACAATTTTTATTAAAATATACTTGTTGTGACATCACCGGTTCTTTTCCCGTTTACAGTACAGTTTACTATTTACACACATTCGATAAAATGTTGTCGTTGAATTCGGTTTATGGACTTAGTTTTCCACGGGGTTTGCTTAGGTACCGGAACGCTGAGCCCATTATCACTGCACCGATTTTACACGGTAGTTTTTTTCCCCCATCGTCTCGGGAAACGTGTTGAAATCGGATCCAAGGGAACGTGCATAGAGAACCTGCCACGTGTGCTGCTGCGTATATGTAATGTAATAATACATAGGGATTGCTTATTTCCCCCACTCGAGATGATCCGAATGTTTAGAAATCGACAAATATTTATCTATAGGTATAGGATTTTTTTTTTGTATTTATATTTTTTACAAAACAATTAATTACAAAATGCGTATTATACATAATTACATTACATTTACTACCTTCTAGATTTATATAGTGTTAACATTAAATAGGATTTCCTCGGATTCCCACTCAACACTTTTAACATTGATGGCTCATATTCGTTTTTAGATGTGTTTTTTTTTCTGCCGATGCACAATGTTAATATAAAGTTACATTCTTAAAATACATTCTAACATAATAATTCTTATTGTTGTTGACTGTTCTTATTTCTATTAATCCAATTATTATAGTTAAAATGAATCAATGTAACAATCACGTTTATTTGGATGTTTATATATTTTCGTTCACCAGTACATAATATTAATTAATGTTTTGTTTTACGTTCTACTGGCAGCATACATCCTCAAATTTTTCTTATTTAAAACCTACTCATTAGTTAGTATAAAGGTATATTATTATCACATTACTGATGTTATTTTTGCTGTTACCAAAATGACATTTAATATATTGGAATATTATTTTTAGTTTTTGAAACGATTGAAACTACAATCAAAAATGAAATTAATTTGTTTTTTACATGTCAGGAAATATTTTGGCATAGCCTGTTGATCGGTTGCGTAATGACGGCGACGGTTTATGGATTAAACGATGTGGTACAAGAACGAGTGTCACCCAATACTGAAGAATATCGAGACGATACCGTCACTGCCGAAGATCACGAGTGAGTAGAAATTTAAATATTTTCATTATTTAATGCACAAAATTAAAATTGTAGACGGCTATTAGTATTTTGATTTTTACGAATCGATATGAGAAATTTATTATAAAAATGTATTAGAGGAGTATTTTTGAATCGATCAAATCTTAATCATCAACTATCAAGCGATGAAAACCACGCAGTGGCGTGGCGAATAGTAATCGAGAGCAGGAATTGCTTCTTTGATCGTTTATTGTTTCAACAACATCCTTATAATTTTTTGGGCGCATATTTAAATCAATAATTGTAATTATTATAACGTGATATATCATAATGAAAAAAAAAAATAACAATTTCCATAATGATAAATTTAGTAATTGCTGTTCGATCAATTACAAAAGATACTTAATACATATATATATATATAATAAAATAATGAAATACAGACTGTTTGATCGACAACTTTGGTCATTTCCAACAATTTTTATCAGAAATCGTAACTTGCGCGAAGTTTAATTATGTCATGTACTTACATTTGATTTCTATAATTTTTTCACGATCACATCGGTCCCGTGCGGGTCGTATGGATCGCGGGTCGAGGGCATGCATAGCGTTCGTCTCCCCAGTCGTTGCCTAAGAAGTTTTCCCACGGCAAAAACGTGGATTTGAACGCTATACGGGTTCTCGGCCGCAGGTGTCTCACGCGTTTACGTAACTTGTACCGCAAACCGTAAACGTGAATATAATTCGGGAAAACCGCATAACCGCGGTGCGTTCTGTACGTTTTGCACAGGCACCATAGGATCATCATCGTGGTGCCCAAAGAGATACCTCATCACGTGAATCACGTGCACACGTACAAGCTAGCCGGCAAGGGCATACCGTTGATCCATTCCGGCAAAGTGGTGCACGACCACAAGCACAGCGGCAAGGTGGCGCACGAGCACGGGCACAAGGGCAAATCGTCACACACGCACAAGCATGTGGGCAAGCAAGGACACCAGCACAAACACCTCGGGTACCTGGGCCACCACCACTACGGCAAGTTCATCGTCACCGGCGGCCACCACAAGCACCATCACCTGCAGCAGGCGCCGATCGAGCATCACCGGCACCACCCGCTGCTGCACACCGCCGCGCACAAGCTGCATCTGCAGCACCAACAGCACTTGCACCATAAACAGCAGCTGAAGCAGTCCGGAGACTACCTGGTGCAACAGCACGGCGGAGGCAGTAGCGGCATTTATAACCAGGGACAACACGGAGGCCCTACCTCCGGCCGCATTCAGTTCATCCCCTCGTCGAAGCCCCAAGGGCTGGGCTCGTTCATACCAGCCGAGATCCAGCAGTACATTGACGGCCGGCACGGCGTCCGTGGTCTGCAACAACAGCAACAATACGAGGCCGCCGATGACGGCGACGACGATCACGAAGGCCAGGTCGGGCCGCCGGCCGCGTACAACGTGATACACCTGCGGGTGCCCGGCGACCAGGGTGGCCCGAACATTTACAAGCAGGTGGACATCGACCTGGCCAACAACGTGGCCAAACTGCAACCCGGTGACAAGCAGCAGCCGGGCGTTACGGCTAACTTTAAGGTCGGTCGATCGTTTTGATTTCAACGTTAAGGGCGGGCGCCGACCACTTTTTTCGCACCAAAACGACTTTTTCTCTTTGCGCCCAAGTGTAATATGTGGTAGGTATTTTTTGTTATGTTGATGACTTAAGCAAGAAATAAAATTAAAACAACCGACTAATTTTAAATTCACCTAAAACAGTAGAAACTAATAAAATCATTCGTTATTTTCGAAAAAAAAAAAATACTCGTTTTGTATTGTGCATGCAAATGTGAAGCAGTTTATTTGAATGTTGAAAAACAGTTCAGTTTAGAATCACTAAAATTGACATGGTCAATATTTAGAGTTGTATACAAAACCGGGATTTCTTAATATTGTTAAAAATTACTTTAAATTACAAAAATTGTTTCCAAACCTTTTAAAACAATCAAAAGCTATTGACAGAATATAAAATAACGATCAATTAAGATTAATGATATTTAATATTAAATTTTAAATAGTAAGTTCTTGAAATATATTTTCTATATTACTTAAAAACAAAGTTATCAACATATAAAGATATTTTTCTCATCAGTCCAAAAACAATATCGTATAATTTGGACGAAACAGTAGAATAATTTTTAAACAAAAGGAGCAGCGCCCGCCGTCGATTATGAAGAAGAAAAGAGGAAAAACGTATTTTTAAAAAGTTGTTGTCATTTCAAAATCAATATAAATACTATAACTTACATAATTCTATATTGATACCTAAAAACGTTATATATATTTATATTCTTATTAATATTATTTTGTTAGTATAAATACTGTTGACTAAGAAGCATGGTTTTATGTCAAAGTATTAAATTTTCATGTAAGTTTTCGAATAAATTAAAATAATTACCATGCACGTTTTTCCACTTTATCCTTCGTTTATATATATATAATGGATTCATGTATACATAAGTGATTATTAACGAGCAGGATTTATAAAAAAAGGTATTCAATCGTATTTGGTTTCCTATAAAATATAAATAATATGAAATATTAAATATTATGAAATGCTGCATGAGTCTTCTATCCATATTTATAAGGAACACACTGTGTTTAAATGTACCATTTGTAGTGTACAATGTACATGTGATGGTAATTTTTAATAGTTATACTTGTAATAGTTACTATTAGTTTATAATACTAAAAACTCAATCTTAAACAATTTATAATAATTGCAATTATTTTGATGGCGAATAGAAAACGTGTTATTTTTCTTTTATCTAAATAATTACAATATTTATGTATTATAATCCCGTTTCACGATTGGACACAAAATATTTATGTCTGGAAGAAGTCCTTGTGATGATTATTCATATCCTTCGGAATTATTATTGTACAATGATTCACAATAAGCTATGAATATTTAATATTTATTTATTTATTTGGTCCGCGAAAAACTTTTTGAATAAAAACCAAAACAGTTTTGAGTTTCGTACACTAAATAATGAATAAGAATAAAGTATGGTTTACGTCGTAGATATAACCAATCGAGTATAGATGAAGTTTTTCCGTTTACCAAAAATCTGTTCATTGATCTGGAGTTTTATCGGTTCTCAAATTTGTTTCCATTGCCAGAACTAATTTTTACTAATATAGCCTATATAAGTAAAACCCATTTGAACGTCATTGGAGTAAAATTTTTCAAAAAAAATCGATGTCAATAAATACTACGTTTAACCATGTATTCCATTATGTTTTTTTCGTTTCATTTTCATTCCTATATGCGATTTACCAAAGACGAGCTTAATCGGCTTTTTTTATTGCATGCAAGTTATTTTACCCATAAATCATGTATTGGTATTTGAGAAAAAAATTCATCAAAGATCAAACAGAATATTATTAATTAATCATTTTTTTAATTTCTTATTAACGTTTTTAATAAACGTTTTGCAATTTTTTTACTACGTTTTATTTTAAACATAAAACGCGTACACTGAATATTCGCAATTTCATTTATTGAGATTATTCCCTTTGAATAGATTAATAAACGTTTTTAATTTTTCTAATCCTTCCGGTTGTTGAGTAAATTTTGTTTTTCTTTCAGCGTACGTCAAATTCGTTTACTGAACATTTTCCAAGTCATTCTACGTACAACTTTCAGATATCGCATTCCCCGTGACAGAAGCAATCGTAGATATCTTACTGTGCACAAACTACTGCCGATAGCCATGATATAGAGCCAATACACGAGTATAAACAATACGACTTACTGCATAATTTCCAGCCGTCTTTGTTTTTTTTTTTTGTTTTTTTATTTTATGTATAGTAAAACATTTTACTTCTAATTTGTTGTTGTTGTTGTTGTTTTTTTTCCACCGCTCACAATACATTATCGATTTGCCTCACGTTTAATCACCTAACATCGAACGAGCGTGTTTTTGAACACGAAGTGTTTGAGAAACCGACTTTTTAATTTTTAAGAAAGTCTGCAAATCACGTGCGTGGGATTTTATATTTATACTTGTAATAATAATACACCTCTCATTCTAAAACGTCATTTTTAGAAAAATTTTAAGAATAAATACTTGTTGATTATGCGCTTATATTTTATACATAATGTGAAATTTCACGGATAACCATTAAAATGATTAACGTGTATTTTGATCGAATTAAAATGTATTACTTAAACTATGTACGTATGTATTAGCCATCATTATTAAATACATGTATATGCATTTATACACATAGGAGAATCATGATCAAAAATGCTATTAACACATAACTATAGCTTTTAGTGGCGTAAGGACGTACTCTAGAGGGGTCATGGGTTTGAAACACTCCCCTCTCCAACGTTTGATGTTACCGTCATAATACCAACAATATTTTACTAAAATATAATGGTTACCATTTGAATCTATATACCTAAATTTAATTGTCAAGTATAAAAATATATTTTGTATTACATTGCAATTATGTTCTTGGAGTTATTAATAAATTAATATATTTAAAACATAAATTAAATCTAAAAGTATATAAAAAAAGAATACTACAATAATATAATAATTAAAAATTTATTTATTTCAAATTTTTATTTTAGAAGAAAATAAGGGTGATAAATTATAGATTTTATATAATAATGAAATATATTAAGTTTATTTCTAATCAAGACTTTTAGGCTTACAGAAGTACAATTTATGAGTACTTGAAAATTGATTAGGTGGCACAAATTTTTATTAATTAATCTAAACTATTTTAATCAAATATTAAAAAAATAACATTAAAGCAATTGGCTAATTGACCAATTTAATTAAACAAATAGTATCCACTGATATAGTTTTTTTTTTTAATTCATGGCAGCTCTAGCCATTGGCCTTGAGTAATTTTCGGTACGATGAATGGTTGATTGGGTTTTTTTTTTTATGGTGTGTTTTCGATTAGACCTTCAATGACAAGATTCTAGTTGGCAACTGTGCATTTAAACACAATTGCCTCATCTCACTTGTCCAAAATGCCACTTGACATATTATTTTTTGTTTTAATGAATAACAGTATGCAACATTTTTTTGAGCACAAAAAGTTCTAATTTTTCCATCAAATATAATTAATTAAATTTAAATCTACAGTTAGAAATATACACCATCAATTAAATGAGATTGGTAGCCTTAAAATATATAAAAATATCTTAAAATAAATTTAGAAATAAAAGTAAATGAACATAACATGAAATATGACATAAATCAGGAAAAATGTATAATAAAATTAAAAATAATATATGTATGTAACTTTTAAAGTAAACTAAAATATAAGGAATAAAAAAATTGAATTAAACTTAAATTATAGAGACGAATTTGAAAAAGAACTTTTGATTAATAAATAGTTCATTAAACGAATACAAAAAATAATAATAATTAATTGTTATACAGCGAATTAAGAAAACAATATATTGATGGACTCATATGATGTTTAAGCGTGATTTCTTTGGCAAAATAAGTACATTTTTTTGTGTTTAAAATCTTGTAATTTGAATCAAAATGAGTGAAATTTTTTATTGTGTGCTATATTAATTATAGGGTTTCAATAATTAAAAAACTCGGCATACTATATACGTATCACATATCACTCAGGTTCAGGCTCTGAATCGTTCCAATGAGATTATTCATCATTCCAACCTCTGTGCACCAATATCATATCCATGGTGCGAAACGACAAAGAATTAATACTGTATATAATTAATATATGTATTATGGATATCAGTATTTCTATTTTTATATTTATTTATATGTATATTAATATATAAGAAAGCCGAATATTAAACGCTATTCCGGAAAACTAACAGGTAATTAAACATCATTGCAACCTATTGTGGATGTATTCAGTTCTAAATAAGAAAAAATTGTGTTTTGCAAAGATTTCGAACAGACTGTAGAAAAAATCGAATCGTTATTGTCTGTAAGATTCAACAACGGTCCACTGTTTTGTAAACAATGAATCAAATTTTATCGATTTTCGTGTCACGTGAAATTTACACTACCATTAACGCACACATGTATTATAGCACGGTTAGTTAACGTGTTATTGCGTGGTGCGGACATGTGGTGTAGCTACATAGGATATTGAAAAAATGCACAATTTGAAAAACTTTAAGGGAGAAAATAAAATGTTTTGTGTGCACAGACGGTGACGCAGTACAACAAAGTGATTGGACATGGTCGCGCGCCGATCACGCCCGAAGACGAATTCGAAGCGCAGACGGACGACGAAGACGTGGATGGTGGTGGTGGCGAGCGGTTGCTGGAAAATGTCGGCTACCGGTTTGGCGAGGGCTACAGGCTGGCCATGGAGTCGGGAGGCTCCCGGGACTTCACGGCCGCGCAGGAACAGGACGAGGAAGAAGTTGACGAGTTCAAAGAGCCCTCGGTCACCGCGGAAGACGATTTCTCGTCCGACGGCAACGCTTACAGCCAGGCGTACCGCGTTCAATTTTGATCGATCAGAAAATTATCTGATCCATTAGTTTAATTTTTGATTTTTTTTTTCGTACCTGTAAATTATTCGTTTTTTTATTTAGTTGAATTTATTGTTGTTTTTTTTTTTTCAAATATATATTTTATGTTTTACTGTTATTATAAACTATATTTTAATATAATATAAGTTTTTAACATTTTATTTTTTCCACACGACATCGGACGTGCACAGTGGATACGTTAACATTATCAATGATAATTTATCATATACTACGTGCACGTATATACAAATGAAAATAATCAGATATGAAATCGTTACTCGGTTATAAACACCTGTATACACTTTGGAATTTGAACAAAAGATTTTTATCTTCCGTGTCAGTAAAAATATTCAAAACTCATGATTTGTCGTGAAAGTATTTTTGTTGTTCAAATAAATAATCCAATATAATAAAAACACAACTTAAATATACTTTATTATACTGGTATTATTAAAGAATATAGGTGATATTCTAATTAATATTTATCTCCATGAAACGATTTATATAATTTAAAAACGATTTACTTCAGAACTATATAATGTAAGATACACAATTGATCTATCATTTAAACCTAAATATATATTTTGATAATCGCGTACGATTTAACGATTTTCCAGTAATCTACCGAAAAAAAACTTCAATGAAATTAATCTGTACGTTCGTGAAAAAGTGTCATAGCTATAAAAGGAATCACGTAAACACATATTACGTTAATAAAAATGACAATACCAAAGTACGCATGTCATTTATACATTTTTATATTGTTACAAAATTTCATTATTCAACAAAAAGTGTCTTAATGATATTTGATAACAAAAGCAAACAATTTATATTATAATTTGATACCCATTGTCCTAGCCATCTACATTTTACATAATATATTTTAATGCGGACATCATCACCACATGACGTTTTATGGAATAAATACTCCGCTTTGCGCATTACTTCTATGTAATGGAATTATCAATTTAATTACCTCATTCTTTCCTCAAATGTCACAATATGTATCGATTTTATTTCCAAGAAATACAGATGTTTAGCAATCAATATATAATATCATGATGGTAATTTTATTATATATATATATATACACTATTCAAATACCCGAATTACGAAGGACAATTTTTTTTTAATATACTATTCTTCGATACAACGTATTTTATATTATACCGTGAAGGATAGCTTTAAAAGATTAAATTTTTAGTTTTAACAGTGGATGTAGGTCTAATTGCCATCCAACTAAATATATTACTTTAAACACTGATTTCAATGTTTGATTTAGGAGTATCGTATCGAAGTGTAAATAACTAGGCACCGAGGTAAAAGAGAGGTTTATATTATAAGTTTATGTAATTTATCATGGTTAATATTAAAAAAATAAAGATTATACGCCTTATAGCTTTCTATAGTTACTCAAATAATTTATGATTATAATTAAATTCTAATATTTTATTTATGTTAGCACAATATTGACTTACATATTATAATTATACATTTTTATGTACATTAGACACTCAACAAAAAACATATTATCATTCCAAAAATCTTGATAATTCAATTGAAGAATCTAAATATCCATGTGTTCTTTAAATACTTTTTAATGTATAAAATATTTTTATTTTATCGTGTTAGACATTAAAACACTAGAAATTCGGTATGATTAGTCGTATTTTTGGCATTCACGTACTTTAAGTCTTATCGACCTAAACAATCTAGATAAAACCTACCAGTTAAAATCAAAACATTACGAAAACCTGTGGATATCTAATACTTCGTTTAAAATTGACGCTATACGTATATTTTTCAAAATCTCATGATTGTTGTTAACACACAACGGGTGGTAGAGGATTTATATTTATATTTTAGAGTCGATTTCAAATTTATTCTTTCAGTTTGTCATCGTATCCGATGAAATAATCTTCTATGAAATTCAAAACTATAAGAGTGTACCATTAGTTATAATAATATTAATTTGTATTTCTATGATATTTTTAGAATGCCTAATCACATTTAATAGCTATCCATACCATATGATTTTGATTTGATGCAGTCTTACCTTTGAATGCTGACCATGATTTTAGCCATTCTAAATTTTAATAGCAGGATACATGATGTATAAAATAATTGTTTTTCAAACTATCAACTCTTACTCTTCGTTTAAACTATATTAATAATTCGATTATAATTGTTTATGAATAGTACTGTTATTTGTAATAAATAAATAGAATATTTACTTAACTAAATTGTAACCGACATTTTATGGTTTTTTTCTAAAACGCAAGGCATTTTTAGATTATATACGAGTAGTTATATACTTTCATGATTCACAACTCATCAATTCACTTTTAATATTCTTCTGTATATTTTCTATGTTAGGTTTTTTCATAGTATAATATAAATCTACAGGTCTTTCCCACCATCCCTCGGCGTCCATGGCTCAACGACTTGGAGATTTCTAGAAAATTGATCGTTGTGCCCACTCGTTTTCGAATAGGTCACAGTCTTCTTCCTCACCACGCTTTTAAGCTCTCTTAACTCATCTCCTTTTTGTACTCGATACCACGTTGATTCTATCAGTATCTTTAACCATATCATCTTTCAATGTCCTTCTCTCCTTTCTAGCCGAATTCTTTTCTCATTCTTATCGTTTTTCAGTTATATCACTCCCGACCTCCTGCTAACTCTCGCTCAATTACTGTCATTCATTCCAATATTAACTTCATTTATTCTACTTACTTCTTAATTTAATTCATTTTAGTCCCTTGACACATTTAATTTATTAGTATTATTTTTGTTTATTTCATTGCTTTGCTGTAATGTTCTAACAAGGGCAAAAAAAAATTTAAAAGAATACAAATTCAGCTCAGTGCGTATTTACATTTATACAATGCATTTACTGTTCTCTGGTGATAGCACATGATAATTAATATTAGGTATTCGTAGTGCTTACATGTTGTTTACGTTCAGAGGCACGTCATATCAAACTAACACTTGTGTTTCGTCATTTTGAAGACTGATGATTGCGGTAAAAGTACTTCATTCTGATCAATGTTCTATAATTTCCAATAGACAACGTTTAACGTCAATTTGTTCTGCTTCTGTGGTTTGGTAGGAAAATTGACTAATATATCGTTAAATTATTAAACTGTCGCATTCGCATAAGTATTATGATGTATGATCATTACAAAACACTTGATAGTTTCATGAAATACATTACACTTTTTATGTAATACAATTGTCATTTATCATTTTGGTTTCCATTTAGGTCATATATATTGATTTCCGTATGATTTCAAACCATTTAAACGATACGAATCTATTCATGCTAAATTCTTCGCAGTTACTGTAATAGTTTAAAAGAAAGTTAAAATTCTGTTACAAATGTAATATAAATATATAAATTATTATATTGCGATTTAGAAATTTAAACGAAGAATTAAAGAAAAGAAACTTTTATGTGAAACAAACGATTTGTAGGTATTTAAATATGGACAGGAATAACGAGGAAAAGTTGAAAAGAAAAAGCTACAAAGCCATTAATAGATACAGTAATATTCAGATTTTAGAGTATTTTTAAGCCATACGCTATGTATAACAACCAGTGTTGAGCTTTATCTAAATAAATTATCTAGATAAATAATTAATTATCTTTTATCTTATCTATATAATAAACAAAATTAGTCGTCTGATGAATTATCTTAGATGAATTCTTGAGTTATCAAACGTAATTCAGATTCAGACAAAGAAAAAATTACGATATTTATTCAAAAAATACAAAAAATTGAACTTGAATGTTAATAACTAATAAAAATTTAAAATTAATGAAAAATTTATTAAAATTATTAATTTATTAACTTAAATACATTATTTATATTGTAGGTACCTATTAGATCAAAGTTAAGTTAATTTTAATTTATGTTTATTTTTTAAATATAAATTAAAAAAAAAGTGTAGATTATTTAATCAAATAAAAGAATGTTTTATTTTTTTTTATCCAAATAAATAATCTTTTATCTTTATCTAGATAAATTTTTAGTTATCTTTGCGCACACTGCTTAATGCCATAAAATATTTTTCAGTTACCACGTTTAGGCAGTTGTATTAATCTCATAATTATGGGTCAAACATAAACTTATAGCAATCACCCACCTACCCCAGAATTATTTAAAAAAAACCTAATCGCACAATAACATATTACCGTACTCTAGGTGCATGATCAACTTTAAAAATTATAATATTCATTAACACCAGCCTACAAGGTTTATAACAACAATTAACGACCACCCACCATCCAATTTTTTTAAGGAAGTCGACTTGATCCTTGACCCATAACGTCTGCATCACTGTTACATATTATAAGTTTATAAAAGTTTTGGACATTGTCTTGGACAACTTCAACATTCGAAGATCATAGTCCATAGTCTTCGGTGTTTCACATCATAAACAGGTGCGTGCCTCACTAACGTAGTAAAAATATTGAACCTTGACAAAAAAAATTTCCAGGCACGTCACTGAGTATAAACATTATAAATTCTGAGCGAAGCGAGAAATGTACAAAATTTAACATCATGATTTTTTTTTTGTCTGTCTATAAGATGTTATCATTAAGGTACATTTAAGTAATTTTTTTATAATTCTCAACAGTTTTCCAAATAATTAATTAAGATAATATAAAATATTTCACTTCAAAAGTAGTTGACATAAAATATAAATTTAAATATTCCGTTTCCATGGTTGATGTTGATCTATGAAATGTTTACTTCTAATAGTAACGAGCTTGATATTTCATTCTTGTATGAGAATTTGTATTAGCTACATTCAAGTGACCAAGTGTATTCGTATATGAGCTTACTGAATATTAAGTAATAACCGTATAAGTGAAGATTATATCTTAATATATTTGCGATAATATTGTTGAATAACTTGAATATTTTTGAAAAATCACTTTTTCTTCAATTTTGATAATAATTTATAAAACAAATTGAAACCCATGGACTCAGCTGCAGCAGGAAGTTCCACAAAACAACTGAACGAAAGCGGATCATCATTAAAAAGTAAA